TAGATATAGATATAGATATAGATATAGATATAGATATAGATAGATGTAGCTATACAGTAGGTCCTTGGGTTACATCGGACTCGATATACCTCATTTCCTGGTTAAATTGCCATCTCCCATTCATTTATTTAAAAAAAAGTTCTGGCCGAAACCGGTTTGGCTCAATGGATAGAGTGTCGGCTGGCTTGGGGACTGAAGGGTCCTGGGTTCGATTCCGGTCAAGGGCATGTACCTTGGTTGCGGGCATATCCCCAGTAGGGGGTGTGCAAGAGGCGGCTGATCGATGACTCTCTCTTATCGATGTTTCTAACTCTCTCTTTCTCTCTCCCTTCCTCTCTGTACAAAATCAATAAAATATATTTAAAAAAAATAAAAATTAAAAAAAGTTCTGGCATTTTGATGTATATACATATGTGCTTTATGTTTTTTATTATTTATTTACCACAAGTAAAGGCCAGGAATTGCTAACTTTTTTATTTTTTTATTTTTTTATTTTTTTACTGTTTCACTTCATTACTGCTGTGTATGTGCTCCATGTGAGTGACGTAGGTGCTTATGGAGGTGGGTTCTGACTTACGGCGAAAATCGCATTATGTTGTGCCATAGGAATGGATCTCTGATGTAACCTGAGGACCTACTTTATAGATATATATAGATACATACAATGGAATATCACTAGGTTATAAGAAAATATGAAATACTTCAATTTGTAACAACATGGAAGGACTTGGAAAATATCATGTTAAGTAAAATAAGTCAGAAAAAGCTAAGAACCATATGATTTCACTCACATGTGGAACATAAAGATGAAACTCATAGACACAGACAACATTATGGTGGTTATCAGAGGGAACAGGGGAGGTGAAGTGGTTAGCAAAGGGTAAAGAGGGTCAAACATATGGTAACAGGAGATGACTTTACTTTGGGTGGTGGGCTCATATGTTATAGAAATAACATGTACAATTGAGACCTATACAACCTATTAACCAATGTCACTCCAATAAATTCAATTAAAATTAGCTTTATATATTCAAGAACTTGACTTGGTAGTAGATGATAGAATATCAAGTAAAGATTCATCAGAAAGCTCATGAAATCTTTTAATTCCTATTTTTTATTTAATTTCCATCAATGAACTTGGTTATAAAACCCTGTAGTTAAATAAATTAAAAATTTTATGTAGTAAAATGGTGAGACCATGTGAGAGTTTTAAGATAAGTTCTAGAAATCTAAACTTCAAAGGTCTTCATATTATTATACCCCAATCTTTTAAAATAAAAAACACCAAATGGATTTTTCCTAGGAGTAACAATTTCTTGGCTATTCTTTCCAAATTTTCAAAAATCCAACTGAAAGCCTTCAACAATGAACTATCTACTTTTAAAGGGCTTTCGCTCTACTAGTCATCCAAGAAAAGCTAAATGTATTCACACTTCTGGGCTGTGTATGCTTTTTTAATAACCCAATTTCATGCCATACCAGGCAGACATTCTTCTAAAAACCAGTTTCTTCTGCCACAGAATGGCAATATCACAAAACAAAATCAACAGACCATGTTCCAATTAAAATTTCATGGAAAGACTTTTCCTGTGGGCACATGTGTATTGTTATAACCCAGGCTATACTGCCCAAGAGCTGGATGGTTCTTTCCTCCACAACCCTTCCACTTGAGACTAAAAGAAACAAGTTATATGTGGAGAGAAATGAGAGCTGAGGCTCTCAGAAGGGAACAAAACCAGGAAAAGCTTATTGTTGGAACTAATTGAAAAATGACTTACCATAAAAGTTTTCACCAGGATAAAAGAATTGTAGTTCCCTTAATGCCTTTTTTTATATTTCTTTAAATAATATGATGATCGTGATATCTGTCTATAGTCAGCCAAAGCATTCAAGCACATGTGTACACACATGGACCCTCACCAACACAGCACTATGCACACAGGCAACTTCTAATTCTCCAAGGGTCCCTGGAAGCTCTTCAACCATCCTGCCTGAGGATGAGCCGCTGTAGTAGTAAGGGAGGAGGTGGCTTAACTGACATGATATCATGGTTCTCTGTCCTTTGGCTTTGCTCCTGTCCCTGTTCCCTCCTGTCCCTGTTCCCTCCATAGCCACATAACCATGTGGACATGTGGACCCCACATGCAATGGACTGATGGACTGCACCTGGGAATACAAACTAAAGTAGCATGATGCTGGATTGGACTATTCCTTAACATGGAATGAAAACTCTGGACACTGGCTTTGATTTTAGCTCTATTAAAATCACAGTTGTACCTCTTGTACTGTGGGGCAAAGGGAAACTGGACCTTGGAAATTCAGGGATAATTCTACAGAAATGAAGCTTTGTACAATATCTCATCCTCCCAATCAGGTCTCAGAAAATTCCTTTTCTCTGAATATCACAAGTATTCCACTCCCACTAACAATAGAAGAGATCAAGGGCCTCTCCCCAATAGTTAACATGTTGACTGACAGTTCTGAATTATATACATCTTAACACTTACAAGACAAAAAATAATCTACTTGTGAGATTATTTGCTACAGCAGCTTAGTTTGTATTGTAGACAACATGCTAATTTAATCAGATATTGACTTTGTTGAAATTATATTGGGTAATTTACAAAATTATTTCCCAAAACAGACTTGGGAAATAGTCAGTAATTAAAAGATATAGGACACAGCCAAAAATTCTACCACAGCCTGGTGAGGTCATTCCTTTCCTTTGAAAGGTCAAATCTGTGGCAGCCAACCACAAGTGCTTCCTAAATAACCTCAGGTTGTAATCCTTCTCTTATAATTCAGTTTAGATGCTGGGAAGCCAAGAATGACAAATGTCCCCCACAGTCTACCTTTAGACATGGAATAATCCCATACATCTTCTTCCTCATTCTTATCCTTAAAAATAGAAAATGCCTCACGAAAATACAGTTATTACTCATACAACTTAAAATAGGTGCACATTCTTCCCTAGAAGAGGATGAGAAAGTTTCATAAGCCTCTACAACCGAGAGCTCAATAGTCTCTCTACTTTTGAGGGGATGACCATTTCTTTTCTGTCTATGGGGCAACTCCATGATGATATCACAGACCATGAACAAAATGGTGACATTACTTAATAATAAACCTGGTGTTAATAGATGAAATTTAAATAAAAAGGAAATCAGTTAAACGTACAAACATATCCTTAACACATCAAGAAAGAAAATATGAGTTGATGTTTCAATCCTTATATCTGCAATTATCACAAGGCCACAGCGGTAATAAAACTTTCCATCCTCCAATACCCATCCCATATCCCCATTGATTTAAAATAACATGTCTGCTGATCAAGATGTTTGCCTAAGCTAGATGGTTTACATTACCTCAAGGAAAGGTTGTCATTCATACTGTAATCTCTAGCAGCTATTCTTTATCAGCACTGAAAAAACAACAACAAAAAACAAATCATTAGCTACATGTCAGGTCCCAAGGGCTCTTTGGATTTGTTCTATTAAGGATACCACATATGGAGCAGTAGCTTTCATTGGTGTCATCCCGTGATTAAACTTACAATTCCTAATAGGCTCTGAATGGCCAATCCATCTTCCCCACTGGTCAAGCTGGGAAGTCAAGTGGACACATGCTAAGGTTGCAACTTTCAAGACTTAAGTTATGGGGCTGCCCTCAGCATCTATATCCTTATACTTTTTCCGCACTGAGAATGTTTATTTTTGCTCCTTTTGACATAATTTAAATCTTACATAAAAGTTGAAAAAACAGCACAAAAATCATCTGAGCCTTTCACTCAGGATTATTTTATTCTTTCTTTTTCATGATCTCTTTTTCTTCTTTCTCCTTCTTACTATTTTCTCTCTTATTATCATTTTTTTAATCCATTAAAAGGAAATTGCATACATGATACCTCTTTACCCCTAGATACATATGTACATTTTCTTTAAGTTTATAATTTTGTTAAATATCCATAACATGAATGAGACATGGTCTAATTTCACAGATTATCACTAGATGTTGCCAATTCTGCAGTAAAGGCCTTCACAGTAAAACAAATAAAAAGAAACAAATAACAATAGAACAGATCGGTTACTTCATAGACTGACTTCAATTTTCTATTTGTTTGATAGCTCCTTATGGTTTGATTCAAGTTATGCTTTGTTGGCAGGAATAGAATAGAAATGAGACTGCCATTTTAGTGCCTAGCATCAGGAGGTGTGCATGCTGTTGATAAGTCGAATTACTGGCAATGTTAATTTTTTTTAGAACAATAAACAACTTTATCCCATGAGCTAAGATAGGAGGGAGGAAGATTTATATACCTTTTGGGCCTTAATTTTCCTCAGTTACAACCCCAGCTTCTTGCCCTCCAGCATATTGCCATCTGTGCGGCTGCATTGACCTGGTCTTGAAGCAAAGCTGCAAGGAGACTGTCCTGCTGGAAATGTTCCTCTAGAAAACTGCTGATTTGGGTATTGCTTTTACTTGCATCATATTTCTTCTGAATATTATTGGATCATTTTATTTTGTTTAAAGTCTCTTCTTCCTCAGGAGTCAGCTTGGCCCCTATCTTGTGGCCCTGGGCAGTGCCTAGCAAGATTGTACCACTGTCAACGTGGTGTGCTGTCAATGATCATGAGGCATTTCTTTAACAGTCTTGGTGTGGGCCAGATTACTGTTGGATGCATAGAAATAGCATCACAATCCTTGTTTTGATCCTAGAACCCTGGGAGAAGCTGCGGCATCCAGCCTCAAGGCCCTGCACTTATTGCTAACTCCCACATATATGGACTGTGCGTTTGCCCCAGGTCGATCTTAGTGTTGGCAGTGGGGTGTACCATCTCATATTTCTGCTTTGTGTGGTAGGGCTTTCTATTGCTCCGGGTCCTATGGTGCTTGTGCCAGTTGTCCCAAGAGATGCTTGAAGGTGGGAGCTGGAGACAAAGGCTTGAGCCATGAGATACAGGACCAGTCCACTCAGCTCCAGAATCCCACATCAGGCGGGCAGCAAGCTCAGCTCTTCAAGGTGGGCTTTTCCACTGAGCACTGGGTAGTTTACAGCCCAGCCTGTACCTTTTCCTACCACAGCTGTGTTGCTGCCCCTCACAGTCCCATCAGCATCTCAATGACAATAATAATTTTGACCTTTGGATCACAATATTTTATCTATCCTGGACAATGTTTCATGTGTGCTTGGGATGTATGTGTCTTCTGTGGCTGCTGGACAGAATGTTCTGTAAATGTCTGTTAAGTCCATCTGCTCTATCATGTATTTTAATTCCTATGTTTCATTATTGGTTTTTGTCTGGGTGATCCATCTATTGTTGAAGGTGGAATATTGAATCCCCTACTTTTATTGCATTGTTGTCAATTTCTCCTTTAGGGTGTGCTAATACTTTCTTTATATACTTAGGTGCTCCTATGCCAGGTGTATAAATATTTACAAATGTTATATCCTCTTCTTGGATTGACCTTTTAATAATTTTATAATGACTTTGTCTGTATTACAGTCTTCAGCTTAAAGTTTATTTTGTCTGATATAAGGGTAGCTACCCCTTTTTTCTTTTAGTTTCCATTATATGGAATATCTTTTTCTAAACCTTTACTCTCAGCCTGTATCTATCTTTTATTTTATTCTAAGCATATTTTCTTTTCTATTATTTAGGACATTATAGCTTTGTTAAAATATTTATCTGCTAAATCTAAAATCTGAGACTAAAATCTTGATTTTGGTCTTCCTTGACCATTTTCCTCTTGACAATGAGTTCTATTTTCCTAGATATTCTTATGTCAGGCAATTTTGGATTGCATCCTGGACAGTATTGCTGTTAAGGAGACTCTGACTTGCTATTATTTGCTTATGAGCTGGTTTTCAGGTTTATATGTTTGTTTGTTTGTTTGTTTTAGCAGATGTCTAACTTGGTTGAACTTCAACTGCAAATTAATTTTTGGAAGCTAGCTCTCTATATATAAAAGCCTAATATACAAATTGTGCCCTCAGAAGTTTGACTGGGAGACCAGGAGCACGATCACTCACTATGACATGAGCTGACCACCAGGGGGTGTCACAGAATGAAGGAAGGCCCCAGCTGGCAGACAGCATCCAGGGAAGATAGGCCCAGCTGGCAGCTGCTAGGAATTCTACTCGTGCATGGACTGGGCCTCTAGTCTCAGATAAAAACTTTTAAGTTAAGATTTTTGGAGCCTACTTCAACCATGCATGGTACATAAATCATCCTGAGATGGGGACAGACATGAATCAAATAGTCCCTCTCTGGCTCTTTTTTATTTAGAAATATATCTCCTTCTCCAGTGCCTGTGTTTTTCCCAGTCTGAATTTGCTGGTTTCTCTAGCCAGAAAGACTGTAATATTTTCCACCTGTGCCCCTAGCAACTACACCCTCCCTAAACTAAAAACAAACAAATAAACAAACACCAACAAATCAGAGAGAACTCACTATACAACTCTTGCTTCCAATCATGGACTCCATAAAATCTGCCTGCTTCTCTTCTCTCTCCAGCAACCACCCTTTGTATTTTTTTCAGAGTTTATAGCTGTTGTCTGCAGAAGATTTTTGTCTAGTTGAGTTTTCATAGTCATCACTGAAAGTAGAAATAACAAATTATACTTCTAAATACTATTTTTGTTGCATTATTATTGTTTTCTTAAATCTTCTTTAGAATGCCAATTACACATGTTATTTCTTCTTTGCTTGTCTTTCATTTCAACCACTTTTTTCTGATCCTTTTGATTGTTTTCTTATTGTCTCTGTTTTCCTGTTTTTCTTAAATGTCCTTTATATTGTTTTTAATTACATTTATTCTTTCTTAGGAAAGTTGTAATTTAATTTTCATTCCTGATATTACTTTATCTTTTTAAGTTTTCTGAGTTTAATACACTCTAATTTATTAGGAAAATGTTCATATTGGAACTGTTTTGGTTTTAATTTTCCCCAAATTTTAAAAGTAGATAGTTCAATAGATGAATATACTGGCTGACTTTGTCTCTGCATTCTGTGGACAGAGTGGGTGGATAGTTTATGAGGTTTCAGGTTCAAAAGCATTTCTTCAGTCAGTGTAGCAAAGAAATGTTTTTTACTAATTTGGGAGAAAGAGGATAGGTAGGAGAAAAGAGAAGTTCTGTGTACTTTTTTTATTTTTAATCTTAAAGGTTACTAAATGTTCTCCTTTTGCTTATTTTTCTCTTTTCTGCTCAGTTTCCAAAAGTCACCCATCCATTCCCTCTAACCCTCTTTTTTCCTTGAAACATTAGTTTCCCAGGACTGATTCCACTTTAAACCTTTCCTATGGGCTGTGCTCTGAAACAAAAATGCAAGTATGTTTGTATTCGTATGGACTATTAGGTAATGGTTGTTTGTTTTTTTACAATCAATTTTAGGCATGCCATAAATTTATATATACTCTCTTTAGTGCAATTTTCCTAGAACCATCTTTGTATTACTCAAATAATGTGGCAAGAACAGTGGGTAATATCTTGGTTTGGTAGGATTTGGTGTTTATTTTTCTGCTAAAAAGTACTTTAAAGTTTTCTAATTGTGTTGAAAGTATGAATTTTCTATAGTAGTTCTGTTTGTTTGCTTCTTTGAGAAGTTAGGAGTGGAGGTTCTATGTCCCCACTACTGTCTTCCACTACATAGAACTTTATATTTACTATGTTGCTAAGAAATTCGAGCCTTTATTATAAATACTAGTGGCCTAGTGCATAAAATTTATGCATGGAGGGGGGGTTCCCTCAGCCCATTCTGCCCCTCTCCAATCAGGAACCCCTTGGGAGATGTCTGACTCCCCCACAAGGATTGAGCCTAAACCAGCAGTTGGACAACCCTCTCATAATCTGGGACTGCTGGCTCCTAACCACTCGCCTGCCTGCCTGCCTGCCTGCCTGCCTGCCTGCCTGCCTGCCTGATTGCCCCTAACATCTCTGCCCGCTGGCCTGATTTTGCCCCCAATTGCCCTCCCTTGCAGGCCTTATCTCACCCCCAATGGCCCTCCTCTGCCAGCCTTATCTCACTCCCAACTGCCCTCCTCTGCTGGCCTGATCTTACCCCCAAATTCCTTCCCTGCCAGCCTGGTTGCCTCCAACTGCCTTGGCCCCCACCACCATGGCTTTGTCCAAAAGGAAGTCAGGCATTTGGAAAATGGCCAGTCAACCAAGGCTAATTAGCATATTACCCTTTTATTAGTATACAGTAGGTAGATTATATAGGAATAGGATTGCTTAAATGGGGGGGGGGAGGCTTTTTCGAGCAGGAGGAGATGCTCTTGGCAGATAAAAATACATAATCCCTATATCTGGACTGATAGCCAGCCATATGCACTATACCAGTGTTTCCCAACCTTCTCTCATGATGAGAATCACCTGGTGGAGTTGTTAAAACACAGATTCCCGGATCCCAACTAAGAAGTGCTAAACTAGAATTTTTGGGAACATATAGGTAAAATTGCATACTTAACTAGTGCTCTAAGACAGATTTTATATACAGAGCACTAAGTTAGGTATGCAATTTTACCTATATGTTCCCAAAAATTCTAGTTTAGCACTTCTTAGTTGGGATCCGGGAATCTGTGTTTTAACAACTCCACCAGGTGATTCTCATCATGAGAGAAGGTTGGGAACATATAGGTAAAATTGCATACCTAACTTAGTGCTCTGTATATAAAATCTGTCTTAGAAACACTGCACTACACTGCCAAACCAGTCATTAAAAAAATTAAACCACTTTCTTACACCTTACACCAAACAGCTGTTGCCCTTAAAGTCCCTCCTCATCCCCCACCTTAGGTTCTGCCTTCACAGTTCACTCAGATTAGGTTCTGATCAGTTTCTATACTAGTCAGTATCTCTGGGCCTATCTCTAGGCCTGATCAGAGAGGCAGGGCTGATTAGCAGCCTCTGTTGAAGCCTGGAAAGAAAGAGAGGCACAGCTGCTGGCCAGGCCCTGAGAGAAAGAGAGTAGCAAGGGCTGATCAACAGCTGCCACAGAGGCTACAAATCAGACTCTGCTTCTCTCTGCAGGCCTCTCTCCTGGCCTGATTCTCAATCCCCTCTGTAGTCAATGCTGGGTCATAGCACCCGCAGCAGCAGCAGTCAACCACAGCAACCCAGCACTGACTGCAGGACTGACTTCCAGTCAGTCAAGCCTTCAGTTGTTTTGGACATTACGAACCATGGGTTTTTATGTATTAGGATAGTACTTCATCTGTGTATCAGAAAATAAGTATGAGAGCTCTTATTGTTACTGAATATTTGTGTATCAATATTTAACAACTAGGAAAACAACTAGGATGAGCATAGAGGTGGACCTGCTGTAAAGCAGATTCTTATCAAATTTCTACATATCACTTGACCCTTTAACCTCCAGATATAACTGAAGCTTATTTATGGTTTTCTCTAAGATGGTGATAAATAACCTCAACCTTTAGGTGTTCTCTTGTTTGATGGCTGCAAGTGTCTCTAAGGAAGACTGAATGCAGATCCGTATGCATAGGCACATGACGATTTGGGGAGGCTCTTCTGTATGGATTTCTGGGCACCCACTTTACTAAAGCTTTGGAACTGACTCATACCTGGGAGTTGGATGAGGCGCTATAACTGTCAAGGAAATCTCAAGTTGTATTTCTTGTCTTTTTGTTTAAGTTAAACAAATCAAATAACTGCTTAGTGAGTTACCCCTAGTGTCAATCCCTGGAGCTCTATGTTCAAATGTCATAATCAAAGCTCACTCTGAGCCATTTAGTACCTTTTTCTACTATGCTTCTAGTGATTAGATGGCTGCTATTGTGTCTGACATCCGACATTCTTTTATAGCATTGAAAACAGAGAGCTCATTTCAATGTCATCGCCTTCCACCAGCATCATCATCTTACAGAGGTTACAGTAGTCCCTCCTTCTCTATAGTTTCTCTTTCCACAGCTTCAGTTACCTTTGACCAACCTCAGTGTGAAAACATTAAATGGAAAGTTCCTGAAATAAACAATTCATAAGTTTTAAATTGTGCACCATCCTGAAAGCGTGATGAAATCTCACAGTGTCCCACTCCATCCAGCCGTGGGTGTGAAGAATCCC